TCTTGGCTGTGATCAGCTCCTGCCTTGTTCCTTGGGTCTCTGCTTCCCAGCAGGGACATCACCACACAGCCTGCTGTCATTCACCCTGTCAGCTGATTTCCTCTATGGCAGATGCTTATAGCAAGGGAGTGTCCTGAGGCACCACAGATTTTTGCTTCTCTCCAGCTGCAATCATCACCATCCCTGTGCCCTCACCCTGCTTTCATGCACAATTAATTATATGGCCCATTAACAAGCTTGTACAAGCAGTCCTTCAACAATATTAATTATTCTGCTGCTAAAGCGGAAATACACAAAATTGTCCCTGAACAGCCCAATGTCACCTGCCCTGTCCCCTGAGAAAACCAAAACCTCAAACCAGGTTGCTCTGAGGGTAGAGTGAAGTAGGCAGCCTGTGGTTCTGGACCTGCCAGGGTGCAAGTGGGATGGGACAGAAATGTGCTGGGCCCAGATTAAGCTGCTTGCTTCTGCAGTGAACACCAGAGCTCATTCTCTGACAGGATGGACACATCACAGGTGCAGCAACTCTTGCTCTTTTCTCAAGTTTTCACAGCCAGCAGAGGTGAAGAGTGTGCTCCTGAGAAACACCTGGGCACTGTGGAAGCTGCTGGAGATGCCAGGTCAATAACATCTCACAAGGCAGCACAGAGGACCCAGGCCTGAGTCAAAGGTCTGAGACAGCTGAAGCAACGAGGAAAAGCTCTGGGGACTTGGTGACCATATTTGGAAAGAAGAGACATGAAAATAAAATGGCAGTGGCAGGTATGAGAGTATATGAATGAGAAAGGCCTGGAGGTCTGGGTGGTTTGCATAAAAACACATCTCTCAGTGGTAAAAAATGTAGTCCTGCTGCACCTGAAGCATTTGTTTGTGATGTGTGCATAAACCATACCTCTGCTGTGTTAGGCTGAAGCTAGAGGAAAGGCAGGGCTCTGAAGGAATATTCAAACAGGACTTTCAGGGAGACATATACAGCTTGTGTGAGAGACAAGGTTGCAGTGGTACATTAATCAGAGATAATTCTAAAAGAAGAGGTGAGGCTACTGTCATTTGAGAACTGGTCACTGGTTAGTAGGAGTATGTTCAGGGAGAAGAGTCTGAAATAGAAATCAGACATGTGCCTTATAAAGTGAAAGAAAAGGGCCAGAAGTTCCACAACAAGAGGAAAAATCAAATATTTGGAATTTCCATGAAATTTAGGCCTGGGCTTTGGCAAGAATACACAGTAGGAGGTCTTAGTATCGGCAACTCAGTTCTGATGGCTCCAATTTCTCACAAAATACCATTTTGACAGCTCCCCTTCCTTTTTTAAACCTTGTCTCTCACAGATATCAGTTCTGAATGGGCTTGAGGGTGGCTGTTCAGCCCAGCTGATGAAGGGTCACTGTGCTGAAAGCCTGTGTTTTTAACTTAAGACTTGAGTCTCAGTTCCTGTGGCCTCCATTTTCAAAGGCTGAGTCTAACACATTCTAAATTAACTCACCAGGCAGCAGAGTATGAAATCGGACATGACCGATCGATCCTTGAGCATTGATTCTAAGCGAAACTAATGGAATGTAAAGAAAATGTAAGACTCTATTGTACTGTAAAGGCTGTCTATTTAGCCATTTTACAAAATAAAATTTCATTTGGGAGCTGGGTGGAGGTGTAAAATTCAAAGAACTGACTAAAACAAGGCGTAGGGACTTTACAAACTGCTGCCATACAGATTAAGCCTTGGGGGAATGGCTTTGTTAGACACCACTGACTAAAATAATTGCATGATAATTTTGGCTAGAGGCACCATCCTATCATCTGATGATTTTTAAACCGTGCATGAATAGTTCAGACAGAGCGATCTTGGCATCCAGCTACATAAAACTGAGAAGCCCGTTCAGTGTACCACGTCTATGCTTTGGCTCTTGGGGAAAAGAAAAAAAAGGAAAAAAAAGGAGATGCCCTAGGACTCTCAAAGAGAGGTCTCTGAGAAGTAACAACAAGCAGTTCTGCATGCTCCTTCTGCAGTGCTCTAAGAGACTAACCAAGGGCTTTCTCCTAAGGTAAGTGGCAGAAAAATAATTCTTCCTAGGGCAGTAAGGAGCAGGCAGGTGCCTGTCAGACTTGAAGCAATGCAAATTAAATCCATGAGTATTTGCATCTTAACATTTAACTTCTGACAAGAAATTTAAAGTTTAATGCTGCTTTTTCGTACCTCAACTGATGAAAGCCTGGCATGAATGTAACGTAGAAGTGATTTGAATAGTGGCAAATGACAAGACGGTTTTTAAAGTAACAAAATCGAAAAATAGAGGAACTTTCTCCAAGAGAAATGGTGGATTTCCATCTGGTTCTAACTGATTACATGTGTGAATTTTTATTGTTTGAAATAACCATATAAAAATACTTGGGCAGACACAAAGTTAAATGGTATAATGAGAAGTGTCTCAGGTACGTACTTTCTATACTAAAATTGGTGTTATTTCTAGTCTACAATACTAGTAGTATAGAATAGGCTGTACTACTAGAATTTCTAGTCTACTAGTAAACTGGAAATAATGATGTCATGGATATTTAAGATTACTGTCTTACAGTAAACTGAAATTACTCTGTTACACAGAACTCAATTAAAAGCAGGGAAGGGGAAAAATGGAAAAATTAGAAGCATGTTGCTATGACAAGGTTATGAAGTAGTTTGGGCGGATTTCTTAGAAATGCTGGTTTTTGTGGCTCTAAACTAAGTTTATTTTATGCACATTATTCACTGTGTCATTATTTATACTTCAGACCTACCAGTGCAGAGCTGAGGGGAAGTGTCCTGGTATCAAAGGCTCACTTAAAGGTTGAATTATACCATTCCTACAATTACATTACTTCCCTCTGCTGGCTTTTATAATGCAAAGGTTGAGGACAGTTATTTAAACACTGGAAGAAACAACTTAAGTAACAGAACTCTGTAGAGCTGGACTGATACCTTTATACACTTCCCTTGCCCTGAATAGTTACACACACTTTCTGTTCCAAAACAGACAATGACAGTTTCTACTGCTAGAGAATTTCATTGAATTTGGGATTAAAACATATTTATTCCTGAATTTACATTGTAGCATCACACTTGGGGTTTTGTTGTTTGGTTGGGGTTTTTGCTGAGTCAATCAGTTTCAGTGAGGGATCAGCTATTTCAAAGCAGTGAATATACTTAAAGCTCCTTTGCTTAACTGTTGCATTGGACTACAATAATTATTGCTGACTTTCTGTTTTCCTCATGTGTCTCATTGCAACGATATGCGTGGGAGGGAAGGAGTGGGGAAACACGATATTCTAGGTTCATAAAAAAAAAAAACTAAGAAATTGCTTGGCTAGATCTGTTTCCTTAGCCAGTTCCGTGTGTGAAAATTCAAATTTGCAGACAAAAAACAGTCCCATAAACATAATAATAAAGTCTGTAGGATGCCTATGTTGAGAATGACTTCATGGCTGGTTACAACTGAAATTTTTTACTTGCAGTGTGGGTAAATAAAACCTTGAAGCAAAACTGAACTTTTGGGGATCATGTCATGAATCAATATCATATTAATAATGGTGATATCACCCAGCTATGCTGTCATTTAAATATATACAAGATTTAGGGCACATCAACCAGCCACTTTTCAAAAAAGGCTTAGAAATTGCACTTTACTAAAGGTTGTGGTTTAGTGGAATTTGGGATGTTTTGAAAGTATTGTATCATAAAAAAAATCAAGTGTGAACCCTAAGGTAGGTATGATCCCAGCTGCTTTCAATAATTTATTGCTGTATTAGTAGAAAAAGTTCCAGGGACACAATACCAAACATGCAGTTGATTCACAAATAAACAGACAAATATCTTACATCTCAATTCCCCACATTACCCGAAGCTCCAAAATAAAGCCTCAAAAGAAGCAGCTTGTAAATCAAACAGAATATAGACCAATTTGCTTGAGAATCAAACTGTTTCTGGGAAAAAGGTAGTTAAAAAGATTTTCACTCACTCACTGCTAAAAACCTCCACATCACTCTGATTTCATTAGCTCATATATTAAAATTTATAATGAAGATGCAGTAAAACTTGATGCATAAAAACAGAGGTATTAACCCTAGCAGCACTCAGTTTATTGATATTATCCTAAAACTGAGACTGCAAATATAAATCAGTGAAAATGAAAGTGTAAATCAGCCACGCGTTTGTGGTTTTAGGAAGCCAAGAGAGCAATTTGTGAATTGTTACCCAGGTAGATGGGAAAATATTGGATGGATGGATGGATGGCATTAAAATTGCTACTACCTTGGGGTGAAAAATGAAACTTTTTAAAGTCACAGTTATAGGACACTTCTCAAAACTTATCCAACAAATTAAAGCCAAAAACATTACCTATTATGGCAAAACTATGGCAAATCCCTAGTCAATATCAAGTGGAGTGGGTGTAGAATGAAACTATAGTTGGCAAAGGATTTGCAAGGTGAGGAAAAAGTCATCTTCATTTCTAGTGGGAAGAAAATAATATAAAACTATGAGCAGTTATGGAGTACTTTGGCTTACAGCTGAAATCAATCTTTCTTAACCTTAAAATAATCTCACATTTGCATCTTTGACCAGTAATCATGAAGTTTGAATTAATTTAAAGACCCAGTAAGAAGAGAATAATGATGAACTTCTAAGAATGTATCTGAAAAACATTTTTTAAAATTTAAAAAAAAAACCAAAGCCAAATCAACCAACCAACCAACCAACCAAAAAATGGCCATTTCCAAAAGAAATCCATCGTTGGTAAGTAGAGAATAATGATGAACATTTAAGAGCTCTCTGCCTGCCAAAAGAATGTTTCTGAAACACATTTATTAAAATTTAAAAAAAAAACCCAAAACAAACCAAAACCAAATTCCAAAAATCCAAACCAACTAAAAATGGCCATTTCCAAAAGAAATCCATCATTGCAGGCAATTTTTTTTATAAAAAAATTATTTATTTATTTTATTTTTTATTTTCCAGAAATGAACTTCTGACCATGGGGGACTGGAACTTGTTGGGCAGCATCCTTGAAGAAGTGCACATCCACTCCACCATAGTTGGCAAGATCTGGCTCACAATCCTTTTCATATTCCGGATGCTGGTGCTGGGAGTGGCTGCTGAAGATGTCTGGGATGACGAGCAGTCAGAGTTCATCTGCAACACAGAGCAACCAGGCTGCAACAATATCTGTTACGACAAAGCCTTCCCCATCTCTTTGATCAGATACTGGGTACTGCAGATCATATTTGTCTCCTCCCCATCCTTAGTGTACATGGGCCACGCGCTCTACAGGCTAAGGGCGCTGGAGAAAGAGCGACAGAACAGGAAAGCCCACCTGCGGGCTCAGCTCGAGGACCTGGAGCCCATGCTCGAGGAGCACAGGAGAGTGGAGAGAGAACTGCGTAAGCTGGAGGAACAGAAGAAAGTGAATAAGGCACCCCTGAGGGGGTCCCTGCTGCGCACCTATGTCCTACATATCCTGACCCGGTCGGTGGTCGAAGTGGGCTTTATGATAGGTCAGTATCTTTTATACGGGTTTCACATGTCTCCCCTTTACAAATGCACTCGGCCCCCTTGCCCTAACACGGTGGATTGTTTTGTGTCCCGACCCACAGAGAAGACCATCTTTATGGTTTTCATGAACAGCATCGCCGCCGTCTCCCTCTTCCTCAACATCCTCGAAATCGCCCACCTGGGCATCAAGAAGATCCAGAAGAGCCTGTGCGGGCAGCCGCAGTGGCCGGCGGGCCCTTCCGAGGAGGACCCGAGCCTGTACAACTCCAAGAAAAGCTCGGTGGTGCCTCCGCCGCCCTGCCTGGCCAGCAAC